ATATATATATATATATATATATATATTATTATCATTATTTCACAACTTTGGCTTATCGTTTATGGCAATGGTTGTATTTCATTATTATTTCGATGGTTTCATTTCAAAATTAATATTCGATATTTATAATAAAATTTAATTAAATTCTATCAAGTTATGTATTATGACGTAGCTTATTTTTATGAATGATATGTTTAATATTTTTAATTTTTCATTTTTAAAATTTAAATTCAAATTTTTTAATTAAAAATAAAGAAATCTCGATCATTATAAATATTTTATTCTATTTTGTTAGGTGACATAAAACTTTAGGGAACTTTTACTAATAAATATACTAATTTAATTAACAAAGGAAAACGTAGCTTTTCAAACCTTGTAATTATTATTATTTTTTTTTGTATTTTTTAAATAGTATGTGTGTAATGATGACGTGTATTGAATTATTATCTTATATTAGCTGATGACTTGACACGTATATATTTTTGTTTTTTAGCAAAAATAATTGATTTGACACATAAAATATCAGTATTCAGTGACCACAATTTGTTCAAAAGGACGTAATAATATTTTTTCATCTAAAAATTATACTATAAACAATTTTTATCAAATCAAAATCAATATTATTACATTATGTTCGAACAATTAAAAAATCGACGAATAACAATTTCTATACACAAAAATAATTTATTTCTCTTATTTGAATTAACTTCGTAAATTTAAAATTCGTAAACTTTTCGATCTATAATAATCATTAAATTGAGATGAAAAAACGTATCGAAAGGGAATCATATTTATAACTTTATCGAAGAAAAGGAGGAGTGAGTATGCAAAGCATTTGCACTTATTATATTTATTTAATTTAATTTAATTAGAAGTTTCATCAAATTAAATACTTAAAGAGCACTAATATATTATTAATGTCAATATGGAAGCCAAATATTTTATTGAAAATCCAACATTTGTCCCTTAATTTTTAGTGCCAAATGTACATGACAGAAAAGAGTTTAAATTCTATGGAAAATATATAATTAGGTCATTTAGAAGGTAATATCAAGTAATCCTATTTTTAATAATATTGATGGAGTATGTAATAAAAAAATAATTAATATGGATTATCAAGATAAATTACATTGCTAGCGTACTAATCTCATTAAATTATTTAACTTAAATTGACGTAAGAATGATCGATTTTCTTTTTCTAGCACCTATATAGTTATTAATAGAAGTATTTTCGAACTTCTTTTTTTATTGCAATTATCACTTGTGTCTTAATCTTAAACAAGTTGAAGATAACTATATGAATTTCAACTAACCATTATTCTCTGTTTAACGTCAAAATAATACGTTAGGAAGTAATAGTGATGTAATCAACTTATCGGCTACTAAAGCAGTATATGTTCTCTTCATATAATCAATTTTTCCCCCCTAAAAAATCTTCATAATCAAAGGAAAGTAATGCAGATAATGAGTGAGAGTAACTTTTTGATACAGCGGACAAAAAAATTCTTCATAATCGAAGAAAAATAATGTAAATAATGAGTGAGGATAACTTTTTAATGTATCGGACATTCATGTTATAATATTTTATAACAATTTTTTTTCTCAAGCAATAATTTCATGTTTCATACAAGTCCTTAGTTTGATGGCCATTGAGTCCATTCCAATTGGTTGAATAATGTCACAACATTCTTTTCTATTACCATCCTGTACACAAAAAGGAGGAAGATTTTATAAATATATATATATACATCTATGAACATTTATAATCAATACTCTGATATGAATGTCGTTAAAGGTTTTATCGACTCTCGATGAAATTTAGTAGTAAAAAATATTGTCGATAATTAAAAAAAAGATTAATTGTTACTAAATATTTTTTTTAATGTAATGTTGATCGTTCAATACTAACACACACATATATATATGTATAATATAATCAACACTCTGATATGAATGTCTTTAAAGGTTTTATAGACTCTCGATGAAATTTAGTGGCAAAAAATATTGTCGACTAAAAAAGAAAAAAAGATCAATTGTTACTAAATATCTCTTTTAATGTAGTGTTGATTGTTCAATACTAACATACACATATACATATGTATAATATAATTAACACTTTGATATGTCGTTAAAGGTTTTATAGACTCTCGATGAAATTTAGTGGCAAAAAAAATTGTCGCTAAAAAGAAAAAAAGATCAATTATTACTAAATATCTCTTTTAATGTAATGTTGATATTTCAATATTAACACACACATATACATATGTATAATATAATCAGCACTTTGATATGAATGTCTTTAAAGGTTTTATCGATTTTCAATGAAATTTAGTGGCAAAAAATATTGTCACTAAAAAGAAAAAAAGATCAATTGTTACTAAATATCTCTTTTAATATAACGTTGATTGTTCAATACTAACACACACACATACATATGTATAATATAATCAACACTCTGATATGAATGTCGTTAAAAGTTTTATTGACTCGATGAAATTTAGTGATAAAAAATAGTCACTAAAAAAACGAAAAAAGATCAATTGTTACTAAATATCTCTTTTAATGTAATGTTGATTGTTCAATACTAATACACACGTATACATATGTATAATATACCAAAGAAAATAAAAAAATATTTTTCTTGAAACAGAATAAGATAAATAAATCGAAACAGAGCAATGTAAACTTACCCCCACATGAAGCTTATCCATAGGTGAAAACACATGAACTTTCATGACACCATTAGAAGAATGATCATCATCATCATTATTGGCACAAATCCTATGATTTTTCTTGACATATGTTGTCACAAAATGATTCAACTTAGTACCCTCAAAAGAATCAAAAAACAAAATATTTGGAACTTCACCACATGAAGAATAATTATTGAATTTTCTAATATTAAACATATAAGGTGGCCATGCACCTTTTCTCCATTCACCAAATGTCTCAATTGGAGTTTGAAGATAACTTTGTGGTATAATTTTGTCATAAATTTGTACTGAATATCCCCATGATACTGAAAATGTCCAATTGTGTATCTTATTGTAACATACACTTTGTTGTAATAGTCTAGATTGATCAACACTTGCTGCTTTCATTAGATGATTCAAGGCATCATAATGGTTCATTGAAGGAAAAATTGGTGATACTAAGTCAAGATGATGGAGTGATATAAATGGTGATTGTGGATGAGCCGATAAAAATCCTGATATATCGCGACGCAAGTCGATCTGAAATAACATGAGAAAGTCATTTTCTGATGTTTGATTATCGAGGGAGTAAAAAATAAAGGGAGTCCGAAATATGCAATCACTATAATAATTTTTTTAGTGCAATAAATAAACACATTAATGAAGAGTGCTAAAGTCTTTATCCGTATTAGTTAAATGTCATTAGATTTAATATTACTAAAAACTTTAGAAACATATACGAAATGGATAAATTGTCGTTAAAAATATAATAATTAACGGCAATTAAGCTAAAATCGTAAATGAATTGCCGATAATTTTTAACTTCATATTATATTACTTGCTCTAACTAACAATTGAGACATTATTAATTGTTATTTAATCTTATTTTATTGAACACAAAGTTCTAAAAAAATATAAACTATTAAAATTTATAGTCTAGCTAGAACAAGCCAAAGATATTTGTGTGTGACTATTTATCTCACTATTAATAAACAAAAAGTTAAATTGATCCTAAATGTAAAATATATCATTTTAAATTTGGAGACAAACAACAAAGAAAAAGAAAAATATTTATGAAAAATTATAATTTCACTTGCCAATATTATTCTTGAAAAATATCAAGGGACACTTTAACATAACTATCCTAATATAGGATTAATAAGATAAGACCTTAGCTCTTCTTTTATTATGACTATCGTGACACCAAATTAAATATCTCTCTGTATACATTCGATTATGATTCTAGTTATTATTGTATTTCACTCAAAGTCTTTATTGACAACTTTAAATTATGAATGCGCCTATAACCGATCATGATAAAAAGAAAAAAAGAGTTTGATTACTTACTTGATGAAACCCTTTTTCTAGTGTAATAGTGACTCCTAAATCAGCAATACAAGCTTGTAAAATATGATCACTTCCATACAAATATGGATACCTTTTAATACAAGTATCCATATTCTTAGCCAAAGCTTGTGCTAAAGGGTAACTCAATGCATAACCAGCACCACCAAATGCCATTTGAAATGACATTCCAAAATTACTCACAATACACTCTGAATTCATCCCAACATAATAGTATTTCATATGATCATACTTTGATAACACATTGACCAAATTTTCAATCATCAATACAGTGTCATCGTCAGCCATAACGTACCATCTAACAGTACTAGAGTCATGTTCTTCCATGAACGTTTCCTCAATCACTCTCACCATTCTAATCGCGAATGGCATTCCATGTTTGTTGTAAGGCATGTACCGCGAATTGTCACTAGAAATTCTATAAGGAGGAGAGATATTAGGCCATGGTAAGTGTTCATCATTTGGGGTTCTATCTAAGAAAAGATAACCCTTAGTTATATTTGGTTTCCACCAAGAATTTATGTAATGTTTTTTTTTACCCCATGTGTTTGATGAGGCTGCAATTCCAAAAACTAAATGGCTAATATTAGTTTTGATATTATTTGAATTAAAATAATATTGTTTTGATGATTTGATGATGTTTTTTGAGGGGGAAAATTGTAATAGGGATGTTGTTGTTGTTGTTGATGATGATGATAAGAAAAGGTATATAAGATATAGAATTAGGGTTAAGAAAACTAGGGTTTTGCATAAAATTCCATTCAAGAACAAGTTTTTGGACAAAGTTTTTGGTTTAATATTTAGGATAATGGCATTAGTAGTAGACATTTTTCCTAGCTAGGAATTTTTTTGAGTTTTTGTTGAAAATGAAAGAACACAACAATGATATTTATAAAATATATGTAAATTTCGGCTGGTTACGCTGTTATAATTATTGTTGCACGCCTTCACTCTTTTCAATTTGAAAAAAAAATTCGGTTACTTTTTATAATAATCCGATCTAAAAAGTATGATACATCGATATACGAGATTTTCTTTTTTCACATGTTAAGACCCCCTTGTGGTGCATATATAATATGTCATGTAATTGAAAGGCAAATTAATGTGATCATTGATTAAGTAATAACTTAACTTGAGTTTATTGCTTTAATTTGTTTGGGAGATAATTGGTGATTAAATGATAACACAAAAAGCATGAACATATATGCAACAATTTTTGTGTGGAAACAAAATTTAATGATGAATAGTCACACCAAATTACACAAGGGTCACACAAAAAATTATACAAGGGTCACACCAAAGTTTAGAGGGTAATTAAAGTTAAATTATTTCGCATAGATCAAGAGTAAATTTGATTATTTTTATCAGAATAACTAACTTGTCATCATCTTAAAAATTGTCTTGTAAAGAAATAAAAGGAATTAATCTTTGTCTTAAGGTCGTAAACAATCTCTTTACCTCACAAAGGTAAGGGACAATGTCTGCGTATATTTCATTCTATCTACACTACATCTGTAAAATTACATCGAGTATATTCTTGTTATTGTTTTAAGTTTTTTCTCGTGGTCATAAGTATCTTTACACAAGTTCATGATCATCATCACGTCACAAAAAAAATAATTAAAGGAATTATCTAAAAAAAAACTATAGTCACTAAATAACTCATAAATAATAGATTTTTCTTATTAATTTATTGCTAATTATCCATCATTAAATTAAATTAGCGATAAATTTTTATTGTTTAGCGACAGAAGTTGTCCGGCTCTGATTTATTTATTTTTTTTGAAAATGGACCAATCAATTTCTAGGACATAGCTAAATTTTAGTTATTAACAAATTCATAATCCACAAAAGAATATAAAGGGTAATAATTTAATTTTTTTGAGGTCATCACATAAATTAAGAGTCAATGCCTTATAAATAAATTAAAAAAAAGTGTTCAAGGCATTGAAAATTGTATTTTATTATTTATATTAAAGGGGAAAAAAGGACATTCCCTTCTTCCTTTTTGCTCCAATTTTTTTTCTATTGAAATGAAAATTTTCCTTCCCATGAGCTTTGCCAAGAAAATGTTTTCTTTTGTAGTTTTCAAGGAAAATTTTCTTTGATTTTTTTTTCCCAAAAAAATAAAATTTTGCAAGAGATGTATATATATAAGTCAATAAAATGTGTTTATTTTGTAGTTTTCAAAGAAAATTTTCTTTAAGTCTTTTTTTCCCTAAAAAATAATCCAGAAAAATAAATTTTGAAGGAGATATATTATAATTCAAGAAAATGTGTTTTTTTGTAGTTTTCAAAGAGAATATTCTTTGAGTTTTTTTACCCTTTACAAAAAGAATTTAAAAAAATTAATTTTGGAAAATATATTTAGATTTTTTTTTAAAATAGAAAAATAAATGGATAATTCATCATTGGGAGCTGGAATTTTTGCTGTTTTTGCAGTTTCTGGAGGTGTTGTCCTTCTTGCATCTAAAGTTCATAAACACCTCCTTTCTGATTTCATGAAGAAGATTGAGTTTGAAATTAGTAAATATTTTGCCCCTTTTAATTATTTATTTATTTATTTATTGTTAAAATATCGCATCGATTTTATTTTCTCTAAATTGTATATCTGTTATCCTAAACTATGTGACATACTTTTCTTTTAGATATATTTTAAAGATACTACGAGAAAACTGTGAATTATATGGAGATTTTTCTAAAAATTAGTATGAAAATTTGTTGAAAAATAAATTCCCTATGAATTTTCATATTAATCCCCATATAATTCAAACCTTTTTTGTAGTGAAAGAATAATACATTTTAGTATCGAAATAGTTTAACTTAACTTTTTTTACTTTATACTTAGGATGTGTTTGGTAAAAATGAATATGTTTAAGGTTTTTTCGAACCCCTTTTCTTTACGTTTAGTGAGTAAGGAGAAAACATTATTTGAAGAATACGTATATACAATCTAGAAAAATACTATAAAATAGGGAGTAGAGGTGGTCGGGTGGTACTCAAGGTGAGGGAGGGGGTCAGGGGGAAGAATATAAGCCGAGAAGGAGATAATCAACGTAAAATATCGTTTATTATAAAATTTATTTATTCTACTATCGTTCAAGAAGTTAATTTTTCATTTTAGGTAATAACCTGTTTTTTTTATAGAAAATATCTTGACTAACCAAATATGTTATTATTATAGTCGCATTTCTTATATATTTTTTATAATTATTTTTTTAAAAATTCTGATTCTGATACTGATCAATAATTTTGAATGTTAGGCCTAGAGAAAGACCAACAAAAGAAGAAGGTGAGGTTTTCCAATGAAGTTATAAAATTGGGGCCTCAATTAGAGAAAGTTGAAGATCATAATAATCCAAAGAAAAGGAATAATCCAAAGGACTTTGAATCTATGCCTTTGAATTGGCAAGTTCTTTACAAAGGGATCCTTCAACACAAGTCCCTCAAACATTACAACTAAATTCAATTTTCAATTTTTGTAATATTATTATTATTATTTAAAAATTGTGTTTTATGTGAGTCTCACAAAATTTTAGAATTTATTTATGTAAATTTTTAAGGTAAATAAAGGAAAAAATACACAAGTATCCCCTAGATTATGACTGAAATTTTAGAGACACGTCTTAATTAAATTAAGGTTCTGTTACCCCCTGAATTTTTTATTTTTTTTGTGATTTGTGCACCTTTTGGCTTACATGACATCCAAATATTTTCCACGCGCCTCAATTGTATGGAGTAATAAAGTGTGCCACGTAAGACAAAAGGTGTACAAAATTAAAAAAAAAAAGTTCAGGAAGGTGATAGGAACTTAGTTTAATTAAGATGTGTCTCTATAATTTCGATCATAATCTAGGAGGATACTTGTGTATTTTTCCTAAATAATTAGTTGAAGTTTCTTTGTTTCTTATTTATTTTTATTTGATAATGTTTTAGTCCCTCTTGCTCTTCTAGAAGAAGAAGAAGGAAGCTATGTCTGAATAAATAAATTAGAAGATGAAAGACTTTTTTTATTTTATTTTTCGATGGTAAAATAATATCAATTTCATGATTTCTCTTTTACACAAGCCATAATTATAGTTATCTATTCTCTTCGTTCGGTATTATTTGTTATGATTTCTATTTTTAGAGCCAAACTATAAAAATTTTGACTAATATTTTAAGATGAATTTTTTTAATCATATTATTATGCAAAAAATTGTAATTTATAGTACTTTTCATATAGTTTTAGAATATCTAATTTTTTGTTTAAAATATCGAATTAATGTGATCTAATTTACCTTTAAAAATTAGTCAAATTAATTTTCGATAAGCGTAACATAACAAACATTTTCAAATAAACTGAGTATTACTTAGCTAATAATTAATTAATCATCGACAATAATAACATACCAATTGTCCCATACTCCCATGATGATTATATAAGAGGACTTTGGATATGGTATGAAGTATATGCAGATTTTATATTTTATTTGGAGTAAAAAAAAAATTATATTAAATAAATCATCGATTTAAAAGAAAAGTTTTAAAATTTTATACCAGACAAATTTTAAATATAAAATATAGAGGTTTCGATTACTACATCAATTAATTCACAAATACAATAAATAATATATTATTATATAGAACATACATAAAACTCTAAAAATGTAGACTCCAAAAGTTTGATGATTTTTTTGACTTTTCAGACACAAATAATTGTTAAATAACTTTTGCAAATTGTCTAAAAGTCCGTTTGGATCAACTGAATTTAAGTGTTAGAGTTGAATTTAGAAATGTAGGAATAATAAGGAATTTAGATTTATATGTTGAAATATTTGAAAAATAAAGTATTTTATTAGTATAGTAAAACAAACACTTTTCTTGTTAAAATTGTTCTGAAATATTTAAAAAGCCATTAACACAAAAAATAACAATAAATATTTCCAGTGTAATTATATAAATATGAGTCTGAAGAAGGTAATATATAACACACGAAAATCGTCGAAATAAGGGGCATGCTCGTTTCGGGGCTCGTTTGACCTTCAAAATGGGTTGGACGGGCCGTGAGGGCCAACCGGATGCGTAGACAAGGTATTGACGGACGTCCACAAAAAAAATTGGCATTTTTGACGTCGGAATCTGGATCACCCAAAAAATGGTTTGTTATTGCACACGAAAATTATCGAAATGAGGGGTATGCTCGCTTCAGGGCTCGTTTAACCTTCAAAATGGGTCAGACGGGCCGTGAGGGCCAACAGGATGCATAGACAATATCTTGACGGACGTCCACAAAAAAATTTGACATTTTTGACGTCGTAATCCGGATCACCCAAAAAATGGTTTGCTATAGCACACGAAAATCGTCGAAATGAGGGGTATGCTCGCTTCGGGGCTCGTTTGACATTCAAAATAGGTCGGACGGGCCGTGAGGGCCAACCGGAAGCATAGACAAGGTCTTGACGGACATCCACAAAAAAATTTGACATTTTTGACTTCGGAATCACGATTACCCAAAAAATAGTTTGCTAGATTTTATTCCAATTAATCATTATAGGATAAAATTATACATAAATTGTTTCTGAATAGATTTTTGATTCAAAACGCATGTACTCGATGCAAAAATTATAAAAAGAAGGTAAAGATTTTTTAAAAAAAAAGTTCAGCTTTTATATTTTAATATTTTAAGTCAAAATATAAAACAAATTGGGTCCATAGCTCAGTGGTAGAGCATTTGACTGCAGATCAAGAGGTCACTGGTTCGAACCCGGTTGGGCCCTTTTTCACTTTTTAATGTGTAATTCTTTTTATATTTTTAATTAATTGAGATATAAAACTGTTAATAGTAGGTTTGATTGATTATTTTTGCATGTTTGTTTAATTTTGAGTCGAAAGTTTATCAAAATTTGTTCTGAGAGAAAAATATTTAAATGGTGAGTAGTGTTGTGCATTAGCTAGCGTATACAAAAAAGTTTGACAGCACATCAAGAGGTCACCGGTTCGAACCCGGTTGGGCCCTTTTTTCATTTTTCAATCTGTAATTCTTTTTATATTTTTATTTAATTGGGATATAAAACTGTAATAGTAGGTTTGATTGATTATTTTTGCATTTTTGTTTAATTTTGAGTCGAAAGTTTATTAAAAATTGTTCTGAGAGAGTAATATTTAAATGGTGAGTAGTGTTGTGCATTAACTAGCGTATACAAAAAAGTTTGACAGCAGATCAAGAGGTCATCGGTTCGAACCCGATTGGGCCCTTTTTTCATTTTTTAATCTGTAATTCTTTTATATTTTTAATTAATTGAGATATAAAACTGTTAATAGTAGGTTTGATTGATTACTTTTGCATGTTTGTTTAATTTTGAGTCGAAAGTTTATCAAAAATTGTTTTGAGAGAAAAATATTTAAATGGTAAGTAGGGTTGTGCATTAGCTAGCATATAAAAAAAAAATTATAAATGGTGTCGATATTGTTCAAATAAATAAAAAGGAATCAATCAACAAACAAATGTAGTTATTAAGAAAGAATCAATTTTTATTATATGAGTGGTTCAAATTTATTGTGGATCAAAAAATTTGAATTTAATTATAGAAATGAATTAGTTGACTTTGATAGAAATTTAACATATTATCGTTAAATAAGATATTTAATGTAAATGCAAATTAGTTTGATTTGAATATAAATTTTAGAGACACACCATAAATGAGAAGAAGTTGATTATGTGTTTGTTTGCTTGACATGTATAACCAATGCTATGTAATAATCAACTAATCATTAAAGAGTTAATGATAAAAAAAAAAATCTAAATTATTATTTTCTCGAAAGTTTGATATCTCAATTATTCATTGTTCCAATTTTATCTATTTAAACTATCATAAGGATAAAACACAAATACCTCCTACAATATGATCGAAATCTCAGAGACGCATATTAATTAAATTTATGTCCTATTACTCTCCGTACCTTTTTTTTTGGTAAATTTATACACCTTTTCGATTAACATGACCTCCAAACATCTCACACGCGCTTCAACTAAGTGGTATCACAAAATGTGTCACATGAGTCAAAAATGATACAAAATTGCAAAATAATAATAATAATAATCGAGGCGGTGGTGGTAATGATGGGGTGATATAAGACGTTAATTTAATTTAGACGTATCTCGGTTTCGCATAGTCTAGGAAGTATACTTGTGCCTTACCTTTTTATTTATTAATACACCTCAATTTCAACGAACTCATAATTAAAAACAAAAGTAAATTAAAAATAAAAAGTGAGAGATCTATAAATCCAATGAAACCTAAACCACTAACAAACTCTATCTTCATGTATCACCAACCAAATTTCAATTTTTTTTCTCTATATAAATTCATAAATTAACACCTCCTATTGCTTGGTATATTGTCTATATCCCATTGTTTTTTCAACTTACTTTTTTTCTTCTTCTTTTTGAAAAAAAAAAAAGAAAAAAAAACAAAAAAACAATGGCCATCCACATTAACAAAATTTCCATTTTGCTCATAACCCTAATTTCCATTTCCCTTTCACATCAAGCAATTGCAAATGATCCAAATGTAGACAAAGCAAATGTGAAAAATCTTGTCACTCCCCTCATGGTTTCAACCATAGCGAAAACCGAGGAGTTCGTTAAGACAAATATCATAACACGTTTAGCTACCGTTAAAGAAAATCCTAATAAAGATTGTCTCGATACATGCAAAGAAGTGTACGAGGACGCGGTCGATGCCATGAAAAAAACAATAAAAAGTGTAGATGAAGGAAATTACGTAGAAGCTCTTGTGCATGTTAGTGCTGTGGGATCATTCATGGGTACATGCAAAGATAGTATTGAGGAGATACATTGTGATGTTAATCCTGAAATGACTAAATTTGAGGATTGGTCAAATGGTGTTATTAGTGATGCTACAACTAAAATTGCTAGTGTTGCTCATTAAAAAACGAAATCGAGAAAAAATTTCGTTAAAAATGTTCAAAATTTGATAGTTCTATATGTACAAATATATATATTTAATATATTCACAATATATTATTTCTCGATGACAAATGTCCATGCTTTACTGGTTGATTATTATAACATATGGATCCCTACATCGTTACATTCCATTTAGGATTAGGAATACGCGTAATCAGACCCGCTTTTTACATATCTCTATTGGGACCCTATTCACCTCTTTGAGTGAATCGAGAAATAGGTTTGATTGTCCATCTTTTTGATATATATCAGGTATTGCATTCTCCGGATAATTCAAATCGAAGCAATTGGATGTCCAATATACAAAATACATTGGTTTTATAGGTATGAAATTTGACTAAATAGACCTAAAATTAAATGAAATATTAAAATAAAGTTGTTTCGAAATATCTAAAATTTCTTGGAGAAAATAGGCCTAAAATTACATATTTATGATTAGGAAATTTACATAAATATATTATAATAAAAAAATATCTACTATTTATAGCAATAACATTTTTTTTCACTTGACCACTTTTAATTTATTTATAATACAAGTTTAATACATATTACATAAAATAATTTATTATTCACATATAATACAAGTTTTAATGATGGATAATACATTTATCACACATTTTAATACACTTATAATAAAATGTGATAATTTTTTACCAAACAAACATAATATATTTAAAAAATAATTATAATTCAAATATATTGAATATATAATTCACTTTTAATACATATTATAAATTCATTACAATAGTGCTATAACCGATAATAAACAAAATGTCACTAAAATCAGTAATACTTTTTAAAATGTATTAATTTATGTAATTTTCCTTTATGATTAAGGAGTATTATTGTTGTTGGGGTGTATTTACATTATTAAACAATGAATATTGATAAACTCATTAAATATAAAAATAATATAATATAAGAATTATATATCCCAATCATAATCGTTTTGAAATTCGCAATGTTTATTTGTGATACTTTTAGATATTTGTTTTTTTAATGATAATATAATATTAACGATCTAATATGAATATTTAAGTTAAAAGGTAATTTATAGATAAAAATGGATAAATAAATCAAAATTTAAATTTATAACATCGTAGATATCTGCTTACACTTAATTAAATAGTATTTATTTGATATGTTTTTTTTTAAGTAAATCATTTATGTAAGATGAAATCTAAAAATTAACAAAATTTTTATATTAAATAAAAGATGAAATGATTAAAATATGAATATGAAATATATTTATATAATACAAAATGTCAAAAGCTTCAAATAAGTAAAAATTATAAAAACATAAATTAGAAAATGTTGTTTGCCTCAGTCGAACCCCAGACCCCGTGCTTAAATTAGTAAGCCAAGCAACTCAATACGAGAATAAGCACACAACTAAGCTGACATATTAACGTTCTCTCTGTCTATATATATGTAATATTAATATAATATAATATAATTTTAATTTAAGATCACAAACATTTAATTTTTTTTTTTAAATTCGTACGAATTCAAACTAGATCACTCTTTTTGAAACCGAGGAAGTATATATATAAAAGGAAAAAAAACAACTATATCCTGAACTGTCGTAAAAAGTATGCAAATATCATCCGTCATACTTTCGGGACATTAGTGCCCATGCCGTCCAAAAACTAGAACATATATACCCTTTATACTAACAGATATATACGTGTCATAATCTTATCTACCGATTCAACATTTATTAAATATTAAATTGATAGTTAAGATTGAATTATCTATTTGTGTTTAATCTTTTGTTAGAGTAAATGACATATATACTTTAGTTTTTGAACGACTTGAACATTAATATCCTAAAAATATAACTGAAGATATATTTAAAGAAGGGAAAAGGATCTGATATACCCCTCAACTTTGTCATTTAGAGCTGATATACCCTTTGTAATAAAAGTGGCTCATCTATACCCTTACTTGTAAACAAATGGCTCACATATACCCTTTTCTCTAACGGAAATGAAAAAAATAATAATTTTAATCTAAATTTTTATTATTTTTTTCTAAAAAATATAATCGCATATGAGTAAATTTAATCCTAGTCAAACATATTTTTTTTTACTTTTTTTTGTTTCAATGACTAATTTATAATTATTA